CTGTGTGTGTGTGTGTGTGTGTGTGTGTGTGTGTGTGTGTGTGTGTGTGTGTGTGTGTGTGTGTGTGTGTGTGCTTCCATATGCACTCCTCTTTCCTTTGATTCCTACATGCACTGCCAAGTGGTGCAACTAAGATTGCAACTCCCTACCCCCTCTTCTATCTTCTCGCTTTTTGGAGCCTCCACCCCTCCCCAACTTGTTCACAAAGGACGTCAGGACCTCTCCTTTGATCCTGCGTGTTTCCAATCTGGCTTTCCAATGCAATGTGCATGTGTGTGTGCGGGTGCATGCTTGTGCAAGTGTGTCGAAGTACAGCATCCAATGGGCGTCAGCACTCAAAGACTACGGTAGTAGTCATAAACACAATCAAGGGCGCAATACTGGACATGACAGAATCAAGAGCACGATACCAGGCATCAATACATTTGAGGCTAGTTAAGTCAAACGTAAGGCCCAGGTGGGGAAAAGAGGGGTGCAAAATGCAGGGTGGGCCCCCCATGTCTTCTTTGGGTTGGCTGCAGTATTAGGGCCCAGAGCTACGCACATTGGCTCACCAAGTACACCGAAGATTCTGGCAAAAGTGTTTGAGGTTCCTTTCCTTGAAAGGGGTTTCCCGTGTTTCTTCCTCTCCTCATTCCTGTTCAAAGGAATTCACAGTCTTTTCTCACTTCTCTTAATCTGTTCTTGGTTTGTTTTCTGAAGAATTGACAAATCAACCAGGTTCAATGGTATCAGTGAGGAGAACCATCTCTTTCATCCATGTGCCACGTTCACAATAGAGTGTAAGTGAAAAAAACGCGCAAGTTATAGACCTGACATCGCCATTCGACTTGTAGGTGCTAGAAGATTCATCGTCAACAGGTTCGTCCAAGGGCACGTCACCAGTGAAGGAGTTCCGTCGGCTCCGTACCCTGCAACCATTATCATCCAAAGGAGTGGAGTCAAACTTCCATGAGGTTCTGAACGGCCATTTACCCCTTTACCAAAACACTTAAGAGGACGAAGAGCGGACATTCACAGAAACTAGAAAAACACAAAATGGACAGAACTGTACACCTCAGGTCTCCCTGCTGATGACTGATGACTTCCCATCCTGTCTCCATTGATGGGCTTCTATCTCCTACTTACCATATTTGCATTTTCATCATCCTATGCTCCATGCACTATTCACAATAAGCACTACAGGCAGGCCAATATCATCATCGATAACAAGTTGGATTCCCAAACAGGGCATTACACACCACCAGTCCGAGTGTTACTTTACTCAATGCCAAGAAGCATAAAAAGTACTTGTGTGTGAGTTGATTACAAGGCATGCCCTTCCACAGGAGCATCAGCAGAAAGTCCAAAATAGTGCCATGCCATCGACTGTCTCTGGGCCCTCAGCAGAAAATAGGGCAATGACGATCACAACCACAGGTTTTCCATCACTCTCTTGAACTCTCTTCTGTACAGACTACCGATGTGGTCCATCTTCTCAACCTTTCCTCCAGGGCTACTCACCTTTCCTGCGGAGAAGACCAGGTGAGCTACTTTTAGAGGATAACAATGGTTAATCTTGGCAGTCTCTTCCTCTTTCTAAGTTCTGAAAGCAGAACAACACAGTCCCATAACTTTTAAGATGGGACTGAATCCTGCACATAGGAGTCGCTCTTTGAAACTTCAGATGCTTTCTGGGTAAACACGGGGAGTTTTTTTCTTCTTCTTCCTGACAACAGGTGTGCCAACATTCCGGATGGCAGTCTCTGCATCATTCTAGGTTCTGAAAGCATAGCCACACACTGCTCCTCGGTCTGGGATGCAACATAAAGTCCCATACCTTGTAAGATGGGAATAGATCCTGCGCATAGGAGACGATCTTCATTTTCAGTAACAATGAACTTAAATGTCACTTCTCTAAAACCAATTAGAAATTCCAGAGAGTCACTTTTGGAGCTTGGGAATGGAGCTCTCTCTCTCTCTCTCTCTCTCTCTCTCTCTCTCTCTCTCTCTCTCTCTCTCTCTCTCTCTCTCTCTCT